AATCCTGGGTACGTGCCTGACCAACACTGATTTCCATGTTGACTGAGATACACAAAAACTAAAATAAATCAATGACATAACACTATATTTAATATTTTTTCAAGGGTGAAGTCGAGTTAGGCTAAAAATTGATGGTTTATACAAAGTTAATAGACTCAAAAACAACTGAACCATTTTCAATATAAGTTATACAAAATACCAATAGATTTGTTGAGATTTTTTGGGGGTAGTGGTGTGTGTTTAAAACTTATTTTTTCAACCTCTATAAATAGCCAAAGATAGTTCACATCCCTATACATTTTTTTTCAGCTATAGAAAAATAATTTATTTTGATATTGAAATGTTTGCCATCGGTTACAATGTTACATATTATATTGCTATTATAATTGCCAAATTGTATATAAAAAAGGTATTATATACATTTTTTTATTTATAAAAAAAAAACAAATCTTTGGTACATGTAACATTGGGTGGGACAACTAGTAAATAGTTGGTTTTAACTTTAATAAGAAGTATGAGGTGAAATTAAATTAGTTTAACCTAACCAATTTAAAATCATTACATTGTAATAATACCTTTGTGCACATAAGTAATTGATATTATAAAATACTGACCTGTGAAAAAGTTCTGTCACAAAATTTGCATGAATGAGGTTTCTCACCAGTATGAGTCCGCTGATGAATTGTGAAAGAAAGTCTATTTGCTAACACTTTTCCACATTCTTGGCAAGTAAATCTTAAACGATCATTTTTATGTTTGGCTAAATGATCGAGTAGTCCAGACACCCGATTGAACATAGTAGGGCAAAAGTCACAAAGATATTCATGACGAGTGAAGTGTGTAGCAATATGACGTTCAAAATGTAACATAGAGTCATATTTAATAAAACAATGGAAACATTCCATTTCTCCAGGATTATGTTGAATGAATATGTGACGACGCATTTTGGACTCTGAACTAAAAACACGTTGACACTTGGCACATTGAAATTTACCATTCTCATCATCATCCTCTACAATTTTTTCCATGTCTAACTCATCAACTGATGCRTCATCAAATAGTTGATCAGTCCCAATATTAACAACGTCCACTGGTTCATACTAAAATAAAGGTAGCATTATAATAATTAATAAATTAAATAATAAATCTAATAAAGTACATAGCAATAAAAAAAAATCGTAATACATCTAAATATTCTTCTTTAACTGTAACAACTCCTCCAGAATCATCTTCATCAGCAGAATTTATATCCATAATTTCTATTGATTGTGTATTTTCCTGCTCCAGATCTATAATATTTTCATCTTCATTATTTACCAGATTTACCTATAATAATAATAGTAAGAGRTATTATACTTTTACAAAGTTAAYAAAAGCAAACAGTTTGCTGACTGTTTACTGAAACTAAATATCATGACTAAGATATGATTGCAACTTTTTGATACACATATCATCCCACACAACTTCTAACTTGTAAGATAATTTTAAAAACATAAAATTAAAAGTGCCTGTATATGGTATACAAATCTAGTCATACGGATAATCACTAAACTGAAATTTTTGTTCTCATAAAATGTATGTAAGTATAAGTATAACCACGTAGGTACTTCCACATAAAATAGAAAATAAAATCAAAAGTAAAGATAATTATGTAAAATGTATGTAATTTATTAATTTTAGCGTATTTATATTATAATTTATAATTTGTACCTATTGACTTATTGTATTATTTAATATAATGAATAACTTGCACAACCCTGGGTACTGAAAACACCAAACCGTAGAAAAATTGGTAAATGATAGGAGCAAATATTTTAATAAACAGTAAATAGTAACTTAAAATCGTCAGAATAATTTTTAGCATGCCGTTCCTAGGTACCTACATGAAAATGTGTTTAATATTAATACTGAAATATTGCCAAGTACTTACCAAAGATAGGTTCACTTAAAAACTATGTCATATAATTTATTATACTTCTACATACAAATATAGTAAAAAGCTAATATCTAGTGATGTAAATTACATAAATTATTTAAATATAAAAGAATAACAAATAGGTGCTTACAAGATTATAGGAATTA